AGAGGGGGAGGGGGGGAGGGAGGGAGGGAAGGGAGAGAGGGGGGGAGAGAGGGGGGGGAGAGAGGGGGGGGAAGAGAGGGGGGAGAGAGGGGGAGAGTTTGCAGCAGCACCGTTGGTATATTCCCCAACAAACTTTAATATAGGATTTCTCGTCACACTTGGGGTGATAATCTCATAAGTGTATTGAGATTAAATCAAAATATCCCTTGCAATATACAGGGAGGGGTGGGGGGGGGAGGGGGTTAGGAACTTACCTCCCCTACTGCATCCTCGTTACACACGCGTGTGTACACACACACACACACACACACACACACACACACACACACACACATGCACGCATCAAACACACACACACGTGCAAACACACACACATGCACGCATCAAACACACACACACACACACACACACACACACACACACACAAGCGCACGCACACAATACAAACATGGGTCATCCTCACACACACACACACACATGCACGCATCAAACACGCACGCACACAATACAAACATGGGTCATCCTCACACACACACACACACACACACATGCACGCATCAAACACACACGCACACAATACAAACATGGGTCATCCTCACACACACACACACACACACACACACACACACACACACACACACACACACACACACACACCTCCCTAAACAGACAAGAACTGCAGCAGCCAAACACGCTCAGTGGACGCACTCACACAGTAATAAACAAACACGTTAAACAAGGGAGGGGAGGGCGGCAACAGCGGGGCGAGAGGCGGCAATTATCGCGCCTCGGGCCCCCGCTCGGTAATTTTCACATACATATTAATATGAAGAGCGAGAGAGGGGAAGAGTTAGTCTATAGCGCGCCTCCGCGCCCCCCTGACACATTCCCTCCCGCCGCCCGTCACCCAAACCCGCCCTTCCCGTCCCGTCACACAAGACCCGATGTCCTCCTCTTCCACGCCCGCCTTTTTCGTCGTTTAGGTCACAAATCGCCTTTGCTATAATTAAAACGAGGGGCGTAACGACCAATCAACCTGGACAAACGATGCAGTCGGCAGTTAGCAACAATTGCAGCGTTATACCTGTGCTCGACATGTAATTCTTCAATCGGCCATTGCTGTTTTGTCAACCTTTCACCCCCCAATTCCTATTAGCTAGCCTGACCTTATATGGCCTGACCTGACATGGCCTGGCCTGACCTGACCTGACCTGGCCAGGCCTGTCCTGACCCGCTTTTGCCTGAGCTGGCCTAGTGTGCCCTGGCCTGGCCAGACTCAACCTGGACCAGGCTTGTCCGACCTGGCCTGCTACGGCCTGGCCCGCCCTGGCCTGTTGGGGATTGGTCAGCTACGGCCTGCATGGCCCGTCCTGGCCAGCTACGGCCTGCATGGCCCGCCCTGGCCAGCTACGGCCTGCATGGCCCGCCCTGGCCAGCTACGGCCTGCATGGCCCGCCCTGGCCAGCTACGGCCTGCATGGCCCGCCCTGGCCAGCTACGGCCTGCATGGCCCGCCCTGGCCAGCTACGGCCTACATGGCCAGCCCTGGCCAGCTACGGCCTACATGGCCAGCCCTGGCCAGCTACGGCCTACATGGCCAGCCCTGGCCACCCCTGGCCAGCTACGGCCTGCATGGCCCGCCCTGGCCAGCTACGGCCTGCATGGCCCGCCCTGGCCAGCTACGGCCTGCATGGCCAGCCCTGGCCAGCTACGGCCTGCATGGCCAGCCCTGGCCAGCTACGGCCTGCATGACCCGCCCTGGCCAGCTACGGCCTGCATGGCCAGCTACGGCCTACATGGCCAGCCCTGGCCAGCTACGGCCTGCATGGCCCGCCCTGGCCAGCTACGGCCTGCATGGCCAGCCCTGGCCAGCTACGGCCTGCATGGCCAGCCCTGGCCAGCTACGGCCTGCATGGCCAGCTACGGCCTACATGGCCAGCCCTGGCCAGCTACGGCCTGCATGGCCCGCCCTGGCCAGCTACGGCCTGCATGGCCCGCCCTGGCCAGCTACGGCCTGCATGGCCCGCCCTGGCCAGCTACGGCCTGCATGGCCAGCCCTGGCCAGCTACGGCCTGTATGGCCAGCTACGGCCTACATGGCCAGCCCTGGCCAGCTACGGCCTGCATGGCCCGCCCTGGCCAGCTACGGCCTGCATGGCCCGCCCTGGCCAGCTACGGCCTGCATGGCCCCGCCCTGGCCAGCTACGGCCTGCATGGCCCGCCCTGGCCAGCTACGGCCTGCATGGCCCGCCCTGGCCAGCTACGGCCTGCATGGCCCGCCCTGGCCAGCTACGGCCTGCATGGCCCGCCCTGGCCAGCTACGGCCTGCATGGCCCGCCCTGGCCAGCTACGGCCTGCATGGCCCGCCCTGGCCAGCTACGGCCTGCATGGCCCGCCCTGGCCAGCTACGGCCTGCATGGCCCGCCCTGGCCAGCTACGGCCTGCATGGCCTGCCCTGGCCAGCTACGGCCTGCATGGCCCGCCCTGGCCAGCTACGGCCTG